TACTGAAATAAAGCTTTTTCGACCTAAATGGCCCTACCGGGCGTTCTGATGCAGTAGGTGATAGAAGATATCGTTGGGTGGTGCTCGGAGACACAAACGCCGGTACGGTCCTTGTGCCGTTACGCTTGGTATTATAATCTAACGATGAAGGACTCCGGGGTATTTCGTAGAGGTGTAATTTGTTTACATCTCCTGGTCGCTTGTAGCATGCTTCCCGCTACTCATTTCTGACGATCCTTCCTCACCTTGTCATATGCTGTAGAGGAATCTAGCTACACGAATTATTGAGTTGTCACTTCCTTTTAAATTTGATATCGGACGTATGCTTCTCGAAAATGTCCCGTACTCTGTATCAACAGTTAGTTGTCCAAAATGAAAACGAAGCTGCCTTGTTTCTATTATGTGAACGTTCTTCTTTATAGAAAGGTTGCCTACGATGCAGTGGTCGTAATTCGTGCTGATCTTTCTGGAAGTTAAGTTTAGGGGAAAATACAATTATAAGATGTATATAGCACCCAGACTTGTACACTTGATTGTGTGTGTTGTTATAGTCGTGGGTAGGCAGGCCCTCTGCGTAGTGGGGTTTCTTCAACTCCCCCGCTATAGCAACTTTGTCCCCTCCCCTTCCGTGTGTATTACCCTGTCCATCCACATCAGATCGCTGTACAACAACCATCGTTTTAGCTATCTGGTGGAATCGAATATCTTTACCCGTTTCCTCAATTGAACCTTGCTTTACGAAAAGGGTACCTGCAGAAAAGCTTGCATCCAAATCAACAAAATCTTACAACGCTTAAATAAAAATGTCAAAAAGAAGAACAACCTCAACATCACGAAAAAACCGTATTTCATTTTCATTCCTTCATTGATGTCTAGGCATCAGTTCATATCAAAGTACTCCACATTTGAAAGCTAAAGGGAAACGGGACGTTTTTTATCTTTCTAACGAGTGGGCGTGATTCACATAACCCTTTTCCTGATATACTTTCTCTTTATACATTGGGTTCATCTGCTCCTTCAACAAAACTGTATAACTTGAATCGGTAAAAGATTTCCACATCTTGTCCTATTTAACAGTTTTTTTATTTGCTGCAAATTTCCTTTCTTTTTAGTTTCTTAATGTTCATGTCTGAACGTACCACTGAATTTGATTTCCATCCTTCATAGTGGTGTTTTCTCTGTTATGTTTGCATTACCCGCATTTGTCATGGCGACCGCACTGCAGACAATGAAACATGTAGTAACATGTCAACAGAGAAAGTGTTTTCCGGCACTGCCGAAACAGGCCGTGATTTTCTTCGCTTCCTATTCTGATCTCCTTGGCTTCACAGCCAGCGCAATTTCTCCGAAAAATGAATGCACAAGCGCGAAACATGATCTAATTCTGTCAATTTGTTATCGTCGCATGCTCCACTTTCTACTTTCTCCTATAGGCCTAGTACCAAGGGATCGGCTCACAATGCTTAGTCACTGGGTGTCTAGAGTAAAAACAAAATCGGGTGAATTTCTTTTCACGGATATGAAGGACTTATAACTTAGTTTTCTGCCCCGTTCTGATCACTTTACGCGCGGCTGGAGCCTGGTGAAAAAGGAATTGTGGGTTCTTGACAGTTTGATAACACGAATTTACAGCATTATGTCATGCGATAGCTCTGAGACTGATGGGGCCCGATGGCATTGCGGCTTGCATAAAAATATAACCTTGCAAATTTAAGCTGCCATCGGTGCGACCCTCTTTGAAAGTTGCAGCTGACATGAAGGCAGTGTCAGTCTGCTATTCCAAAGGAAAACTGAACAACTCGAATCTCAATTCAAGTTGATGCTCTGAGGTGAACTGAACGAGCGTGTGAAAAATCTTCGCGCCACCTATAGCACCCCCCCCCCTCCGCAAAACAAAGAGGACAGCTGGATTATTCTCCTTTGGGGAAGACTCATGATTAACGCATACAGTATGCGAGAGTTTTTACATGAGGTTGGCGGAGAGGTACCTTCCAAGCCTTTCAGCCCTCAGACCTGGGTTCGAATCCTGTCCAGATGATTTGGTTTGGTTAGTTTCTGTATCTCCGTGGATGATACCAAGTTTTGCCTTCCACCACTTTAACGAACGCCTCTTCAAAGTGTTCTCTCTGTAAGTTCCCTCATGTATGATTTCGAGCTGCATTGCCTGTGATGTGCTCTCAAACTCTGGATAGCATGAGCACATCAAATTACTGACTATAAAAGCAATCCAGATACGGTCATCCGCATGCCTTTGGCCACTCGATGATGTGGATCTGCGTACAGATGTTATAGCCAATCGGATTTTCTCCCTAAGGCAGACTCAGGGTCGTCTCAAGATGTGTGAATCACTGCATGGACGTTCACTAGTGAACATCTGTGTTTAAAAAACTCAGAGACTTAGCCAATCTGCGGATTTATATTTTACTTATGTTGTACATCACAGTTTGATTCCGGCTCTTATCCATTTCTCAAAGATGGGTCTCGTATCCGCCTAGGTGTTGTCTTCACCCCCATAATATTCCGTTTGCATGAGATAACTTCTTTGTGGGACCTCACATCATGCTGGTTTGTGGTACTTGTGTCTAAAACTTCCAACCACATTGAGCCGGAATTTCCAAAGTGATAGACCTATACTTGGATCTCAAAACCGTTTTGATGTAGACAAAGGCGAGATTTGAGAAATGGCCAAGAGTTGGCATTAACGCGTTTCTGTTATGCATGCCTACTGACCAATTGCATGTAGGGCACAGGTGGCTAAAATCTTATAGTAGTTTTTATTATCTCTAAATGCGAATGATTAATGTTTTGCATGATCAAGTGCTGGTCTCCTTTTCTGGTTCCACGTATTAAAGAAAAGTAGTCATCGGAACCCGATGACCAGAGCGCCCTTTTGACAGCAGACTAAATCATTTTTAGGACCGCATTCAATATTAATTTCGATTCAGCAGACCCTCTGGGAGAAGCGTAAGGATGATTCGATCCAATCGCGAAAATCCTTGGACAATTCCCATAAAGCAGTGCTCGCGACTGAATGAGCTCTCCACGAATTTCAATTTCTTCGAGGGAAGGAACGGGGAGAGGTCGGGTGATGAAATTCCTGGCAGGTCTATTCGCCCAAGATCGATGAAGACAAACCATTCTGAAATGGCGCGTAGTGGGCCTACTGGCAAAGGAACAGCAGCATAAATCTCCATACGTTAACACATCAGGCCCTAAAGCCCCCATGAAAGAGAGCGGAGTTTTTTTACTGGAAGTATTGCAAGCCTGCGGACATTATTGTTAGAATATCTTGTAATGTTGCTGTGTAATGACGTCTGTACGGGACCGAGGCATATAACATGAATGGGTGCACACACATGGAAAACTTTAATTCGTTGCCGTTACAATGTGTACATGTGACTAGCTCAATGATACACAACCACACTAAAGTTCAGTGGTTCACACTGCACTTTACACCCATGCACATCATGGTACTGTGGTGTTGATTTGACACCTTTGGTATCTCTGTACAACCGCTGGGCCCATTCTGGCGTAAGAGTGTCCATTTGACACCACAGTTTTTGTAGTAAAGAGTTCGGTTGTCTCTCCAACGGACAATTGGTTTGGAATGACCTCAATCTTAGATGATAAACGCGCGGTGAAGATTGATCTTGCTTGGTATAATTATGTCAGGGTGATTCATGCGCTGTTTATGAGGTAACACCAAAAGCTGTTTAATAGTTTCTCGTCACTTTAGCTTTTTGGTGTGTAGGTCTACACCGTTCATGATTTGGAGTAAACAGGTTCTGATTTAAAATTAAAGCACGTTGTACTGCAGATGTGCATTATCGTTTAGTTTGATTGAATTTTTGGGTTTTTTTTAATGCAAAGGTACATTTGCCGTGATGTTAAAGAGGTATTTGTGTCAGATTTCTTCAATGCGATTGCTGAGGCTGTCTTGAAAGAACAACCAGACATCAGAAATGCAGGCGATTGGATTACCGTGATGAGATATATTGAACGGTTCCGTATATGCTCGCGGTAATTTTAATAAGACAATGCTGGGATCCGAGTTTGTAAGAGAAACTACAAAATGCAAAATGAAATTAACGCGATCGAACGACATGATTGGCCATCGAGCGCCACTGCCGGAGGAAACTGATGTCTTGTAATTAAATTTTTGTCTGTAATGAAATTTCAAGACTAAACTGGGTGGAAATTACAATGTGTTGGTAGCACATACCGACTGGATTATTGAGCGGTTTCTGTTAAAAGCCGCCGGTAAAAATAGCGAGTGAACGAGCTTCAGTTTTCCTACGGCAGGCATCGTGGAACGAATAATTCATCGCCTGCGTCAGTTTTCCTTTACCTAATAGCAAAATAATGGCGCTTTTAAATTCATAAGCCGTGCACTTGAAAAAGGGATTTGTATAGCATGTGAAAGAAGAGAAAAAACTTAATCTGGGGAAAACATGCGTCTGACTAACACTATATATAGCTACAATTGATGGCTGCCTGCGTATAGCATGGTATCCAGACACCTCAAACAATAGACGTCTTGACAATTATGTTCAGTACTTTTTTATGTTGGAGGTGACAGGGGCAAGCAAACTGGGAACCGCAGGTTTGGGTTTTAGGGTTTTGGTGAGCATTGTAATAATGTTATGGGTGTGCTGTATCAACATGCATTGGTTTGCACGTCGGCCTAAGCTCGTGATTTTCACCAAGAGTGAAGAGTGAAATTCATGACACTGACAACATCACAGCCCTTTTAAATGGCGCGAAGATTATCATCTTCATTGCACACTGGATCAGCTACCGTTTTTTTTACGACATCACAGCCCTTGATGGAACTCGTTCAGAAATTGAAAACTAGCACTCGAGACTTGATCAATTAATGTTGATTTAGCACCTTAACAAGTGTGTGCTCTGGACATTTGTTTCTATAAATGGCCGTGATAATGTACAAATTGAATTCATGCACCTGATGCCTTTCTTTTATCGCTGCAATGAGTCAAATGTGACTTGCATGTCAAACGCACATTCACGTCTCATTTATTTCAATTCCAAGGTCTCCGCTCGTTTGTCTCTGCAAAGTGCTCGCGATCAAAGAAGTTGTGATATAAATTTCTAATAATAGCTAAAATAATTGAAATTCTAACAATTGAATTCAATTCCTATCAACATTAATTGCTTGCTTGAAAATTAAACATTTAATCACAAATCCATTCTTTTCAAACTATCTTGTACACGGCTCACGTCAAATATTAATAAATTATTTCACAAGAAATTAATTTTCTCATAACGATTGAATTGCCCACCATGTGCGCATTTTAATAAACGAAATTATTTGAACAGCTGAATTGAATTTAATTTTTTTAGTTATAAAGCTTTCTTCTCATTTAAAAATATTTTTGTGTGTTTGTTATGCCAACACAGGCTTATAATTTCTAAAATAACACTACAGGTAATTTGAAATAAATATTCGAAATGTTTGAAATTGTACATCATGCCAAAGATCTGCAGGGACGTATGCCAACATTATTTGTTTAACCTCAATTCGAAAACTACAGTACCGTACCCAAGATGTCACGCCAACGGAAACAGAGAACGAAAACATATGGGCGATGTTTGCCTGTCCGTTTCAGAACAGTTTGTTTAAATTATTCAGTGCCAGATGGCAAAATGTAATGAAACCATCGCTCCTTTGGTAGGAATAAGCCATGTGCGACAAATGTAACTGTTTTCAAGAAATATAAATTAATATTGATTTTGAAACATTCTGTGATGGCAATAGCTCCCTGTAGCACGTTCTACTAGGAAATTCCTTTTTTCTATTCCTCCTTTCATGCAGCATTTTTCTCATTCCAGTATTTTGGTATGGTTTGCTTGGATTTGATCATGTTGTCAGAGAAAAAGAAGAAGCAGTGATTTGGAATTCTTTTCAGTAGCTGCTTACGTGCTGTGATTCACAACGAAAAACTACCCTGATTTTTTTCTCAAAACCTCTTGTGCCCTAAGGGACTATTGCCCACAAAACGAGATCAGGCGCAATTTCCATGCGATATCGAGCACTCCGTTACACATCATTTTGTCAGTATATCAGACTAAAAGGTTTTACTTTGTAACATTCCCATTTGAGACTTAGTGGCATTGTTGTGCTTGGGACTGATCGTGGATTGTGTACGCTATATATAAAGCCCTGTAGTTAACCCCCCGTAACAACCCACGCCGTTACCACACGACTACTGTTTAGTGAGTTGGGAACCGTACAACGTCGTTCGAACTTCATTGTACAGCTGGCTACCGCAGATAATCAGCTTACACGGAAAGATTCATCTTGAAACCCATATCGTATGGCATTTTTGTCTCGAGGCATAAGCCAGTGGCGGATCGATATGACTTTCGAGACAACCTGCTCACGTGGTGAGGGATAATGTAATTGCTGTTCAATAATGCACACACCCTACAAGCAAGGCTGGCTTAATCAGCGGCTCTTCATTGAGTATTCGAACCCGCAGTAACAACCCCCCTCCCCGGTCAAAGACACCTATGAATTGGACTGCATGGCGTATTCCCCGCGATGAAGTGCATGTAGTGGTGATTTTAGCAAGGCCAAGATTACAAAGTTCATATCTACAGCTGTAGTAAAAATTTATACATACTTAGGCGTTACTCCATCAATTTTGCCTTTAAGTGGTAAAAGGTGCCGAGGCGTTAAAAGGGTTGATAATGAAAAAGAGAATGCGATCTTTATTTCGTATATACTGAGATGGAATTTCGAAGAAACGGTATTACGTTCACAAAAACAACCTACAAAGTTTTCTTTTTCACCATTTAATAATGTAAACCCAAGTCTGCGGTTTAAATTCCAACTCGTTAGTTCTCGACTTGTACCCGTCTGAGCATGCAAAGCACCCGCTACCGGTACGCCATCTTGGAATTTTCGCGCGCCAGCCAGCGCTCGTTTATCACCTGAATTCTCCGGTACTGTCAAACCAATGACCGAATCACATCCAGCCAATGCATTCGTCGCGTGGCAGTCCACAGAAAGCTCTGATGATGAGTGTTTCAAGTTGTCATTTAATATTATTTACATTGTGGTACACTTCGAGTATACACTACAAGGCTTGGCGGAGGGCATTACGTCGACTATTTTGACCTACGCGTGTTACTTATGCTTTACCATCGTTAGGCTGCTGAATGTTAGTATTGGAGACTAATATAAATATACAACCGATTCCGATACCGGCTTCATAGAGTCGACAATACATTTATCTCTGATTTTACCGTACGCGAAAATATCTTATAATTATGATATATACCATTTATATTATGTACAATGTATGTAATTTATCCTATAATGTGCTTGAATATAGGAGTAATTTACTTGCCTGATCTTTTTCATACAGCGCCCAGTTTAGAGCGATAAACTTTCCACTAAAAATATCAAGCAAAAATATCTACTCTAGTACTCGTATAAATCGTAAAATTTCAAATCCAAAAGAACCTAATGTGATTTGTATGGGAGATGAATGGACACAGTACAGGTTAGCTCAATGTCTAATGTGATCCCTAGAATATGTTATTTCAAACTATAATGCTAAGAACTATGCAAACAGTTATGTTACTGCCGACATTTTCTTGAGCGTACTTATTGCACTGTTTTAAGAAGCAGGGTCGCTTACATTTTTTCTCTTTAGAGAAGAACTCGCCAACGGCTGTAGGTTTAGTCTGTCGAGAGTGATTTCAATGAAGGTGCTTATCACCCTACTCCGACCCGTTCAAATCATTCATACCAAGATGTAATAACTGGAGTTGATCGTAACCCCAAACCGTTTTCAATGGAAGATTTCCAACTGATTGCGCAAAAAGAAAATATCTAAATATAGTTATTTTTGTTGTATATTTGATGAAATGCTTCATGAATGCTAATTTTGAAACTGAAGTTCATCATTGTAAAGATAAAATACGTAAAAATAAACTATTCACGCCTTATGCCTTCCTCAATTACACTTCTGATTCTAAAGATAACTACGGTACCTCAGTAACTAATATTATTACACTAATTTGATCAATCTCTGTTTTAACTCAACAGACAAGTCTGTAGAGAATTACGCATACCTTTGCATTGATAATTGGACCATTTTTAGCGAAATTATTGTAATTGTCATACCGTTTTAACAACAAGGGGTGAGACTGGCATTATTCGCTTGTCCCCAGAATGATGCGAGTGGGTCGGAGATAAGACCTCGCTACCAGGTTGTGCTTCATCAGCTGACCATGCGTCACTGGACGCGTCGATGTGCACCATGGCGTACGTAGTCCAGGTGTTAATGTCGCGGTTGTAGTCAGCTTGGAAATCAGCCGACTGCGTGTCCTCACTACACGAGGTCTGGGACCCGCTGTTGGCCTTGCTGTCCCGCAGTCTGGCCGTCAAACTATGGGCTGGAGACGGAAACGACAACGACCGCTGGTCCCAGCTGAGGATGTCGTGCCTTGGACTCGAGCACCAGGAATCCCCAGAGCAATCGACGCGGCGCGGGCTCCCGTCGTCCCCGGAGCCGCACGTGCAGGCGTCCGACTCATTCTGGGAACCCGACTTGGTCAGGTTAGAATGCAGGAAGCACTCGTTGTGGCACTTTTGGGGTGAACTTGAGAAGGCACATTTGGTACCATTCAGGCCGTTCCTAACCGCCACGAACTGAGATAGGGACTTACAGGGACTGCACATGCGCGGCAAAACGACGCCATTTTCACAGCTCTTCACGACGCACGCAGCTTTCTTTACGATGCGTTTACTTCTCTTAGCCTCTCTTTCATCGGCTTGTTTCGTCTGTTCGTCGTCTAAGTATGTTGATACCCGTTCGATTTGGTTCAGCACTCCCTTTAGTTCCCTGACGACGGTGTTCAGCTCTGAAATGACCTTTTCGAGGTCTGTAATCACCACTCCAATCTGCTGTTTCACAAGATGTTTGCGGCGTTTATTTTTCATGGCCATCGCGTCTCCCAGATCGTCAGATCCACCTTCGTCACAAACTAACCAGATTTCCGATTTTACACATCGACAAGCATCTCACGGTTCACGCTCAAATATCATTTTGAAACTCGTCCGCCGGCAGGTTTTCGATAAGGAGAAATGGATAAGTCACATTGATTGAGGCGTGCTTCGAAAATGGCGCCAGTTCCTCGAGTGAATTCACCGCTAGTCCGATGTGAACGAACCGTGAAAATGTCAGCGGGAGAAATAGAAGGGAGCATGCAGTGAAATTCCAAATGTAAACGATGCCTCGGAAATCTGGCGACTGGGGACCTTCAGCCTCCCGGACAGGAAAGCTTGCGTTAAACGTTTTTCACGAGCAACTCACAGCTGTACTCCGGCATCAACTGCAAATTCGTCGAACTCGATATAAGAAAACGGGTTGCTTGATGGAACGAGCACCGTGCTGTGCGGAATGATTCTTTGGAGATCGAGGGAAGAAGAGCTGCTCGTCCCCGGCGAGCTTGCCGCTAGGCCTGATGAGTGGCTTTGCATAGATTAGATCGGAGAAATCAGGCAAGAGGGAGAAGTTGATCCAAGACGGAGGAACCCTAGGAGATCACCGAATATTGATGATAACCTGAGCTGTGTCAGGGGGATGTTTTTCTCGAGGTTTGCAGACGGCCCGGCTGTCAAAAACAACACGACAGCAGCCGACGCTGGGGATCGCAATCAAGCACTCGGGTGATTAAATGTGCGGCTGGATTCCTACGTTTTCTTTTCGGCACCGGAATCTGATTTCCGATGCATGGCTCTTTAAAAATGGTTGGCTACACATTGATGGCATGTTGCCTGTACTGCTTCGTGTCCTCACTTCCGTGCTGCTGCCGAGTGATTGCTAAGTTCATCACATCGGACGGAAATAAACCCGACTATTCGCCGGGGCCGATGTGCAGTTGATACGGTGAATTGGTAATTAGTTCATTTCTTCTCCTCTGCGCAGCTATAAAACATTTTCATTGTGGCACGATCAAGAAAATGAGGGTTGATAAAACTGCACCCCCTCAAATCATTTGTTGAAAGTCGCTTCTTGTCAGTGTCTTAGGTTCATTCTGACGTTCGTAGATTAGAACATCACAGCGATGGCACCACAGGCACCTGAAATGATCACCAACTGAACACCCACACATGAACCTGCACAGATCAACTGTGGAGACATCCGTCATCGTGCTAGAAGCATGCCTGGACTACCTGCGATACGCAGGCGCACATAATCGATGATAATTGGTTCCCTAGAAGCTGTGTTGGGCACATCCATTTCCCCCGGTAACTCAATTTCGTGTCGTCTGCTGCAGTGGATCGCTATCTTCTGCAACGTGGCCTCGAACTAAAAAGATTGCGATCGGGCCTGCAAGAAAAAGCGGGAAGAGAAAATTGTCAGACTTTATCTCGACTGAACCTTCATTGATTTGTCCATCAACCCCTCCAATACGGGTGCAACGAATCCAGATTGCACATGGAACCATTGCTCTCGATTCTCGATTAGTGAAACATTTTAAAAATCTACTCTTATAGGTTTGATGATGAATGAACGACTTCGGAAGAGCCGTCATAATGACTTTATGAAAATTGAATTACAAAATGTCCCATTGTAAATTCGCATCCCTTATTGTCTTCAGTAGGAATTATACCGTCATTTTGCACTGCGGATTCACCATGGAAACGAACAGTAAAAGGAGGGATGGAGCTGGAGGGGGGTTTGGTCCCTACCACTCCTGGAATGGGCGCGTCGAAAGGTTTGAGTGTGTGCTGTAAAAATGACGTAGTACAAATTTATTTTTATACACATGTCAGATTTAGTGCCATGCCATTCACAGATTTTGTTTGTTTGTTTGTTTGTTTTCTATTCTGTTATCGATTCTTAACCCCTTTAAACAAGAAAGGTAAGTAATTTTGATCGCATTTTGCAGAGAAATCCCTAGCTTAACGCTCTGTTGAATTAACATTCAAAACTCCGAAGTACGTGAGATCTACTATGCACATAGAGAGATGTAAGAAAGATTGAGAGAACAAGGACCTAGGAGAAACGCATCTCTTCTTGTGGAATTCAACACCGCACTCGAGGCAAGACACGTCCATGACCGCATGTGCACGGTGACACCCTACGCCGAGCGGCAACGGTCAAGCTTTAGGAGAGCACTCGGCAAGTGACCGGAGAAATGAATGCAGTGCCACAAATCCGAAAAACTACACCACAACAGCCATTCATCCAACGAGGAGCCTAGAACCTGCTCTCCCCCGTCCATCAGACCCATTACACTGATGAAACTAAGAGAGGAGGCAATTTGGAGGATAAGCAAGCTCTATCATGTATAGTGGGCGTTAGTTTTTTGGGTCATAAAAGTCAATAACGCGTCGCAAAAATGACGCTGTGGCACATCAGCTGTCTGGTTTCTATACGAGAATAAATTCAACCTGTCACTGCCTAACAGCGCGGGCTTCCTCTTGTTTTCTTATTTTCTACGATTTGTGGCAGGGTTCTGCTGTAAAAACAAATCGACCGAAATCTGATACTTCCGTCACGACGATGGCCTTTTATTTTCCAAAGGGCCAGAGATTCTCGCCATTTTTCCACCGGAGCTTTAATCGACACCTTCTATACGACCCAAATGATTACGCCATAATGACTCGTGCTCGTTGACTTTAACGGCAGTATCAAACTCCGATGTGTTGACACCCTTTAAACGAATAGGTTCGTTTACCATAACGGTGTAAGCTCAAAAGTGCGCTCAGTTTTGTCCATGCATAAATATACACCTTCACTCAGCAGAGAAGACTTTTAATCCCTCGTAATATTCGCATCATTTTATTGACGTTAGTGCACGAACTTATGGTGGGATGCGTAGTGTAAATATTGCATTCAAACCCAAATTGGAGAGAAACTTACTTTTAAATTGCTACAAGCTAAGGTACTTAATGGCATCTTTTTGGTGGTTGTTACCGATATAGTCAGTTTCAAATGTTTACTGCATGCAAATTACAATTTAGACGAGCAAGATTTTTAGCGCATGATACACCAAAATTCAACTTTAAGGGCGATTCGGTTGGACCACAGAGCGAGGAAACAGGCCAAATCATGACATCAATCAAGGGCCGATGATTATTCTCAGCTCCGTCAGGCATCTCCGGCAGAAGCGAATTTTGGAGGCAGCAGAAACACAAGAAATGGGCCTGGGCCAGAATTAATTTGTCTAATGGGTCGCGCGGCCGAGTCTTGCACTGATTTCTGGCCGGGGTTTGTCAGCTTTCGGAAATCCCACATGGACGGGGGGACATCATGTTCAACATCGAGCCTCGCGCGCTTCCAACGCGATCACCTTCCAAGATAAATTGAGAGAGATTGGGTAGGACTGGTTGTCATCAAATGGTCATGTAGGGGAATGCAGTGGTCAACGCACTTGATCCCCTCCAGCGGGACACTAGAGAGTGCGAAGTGCACACAACATAGCGCCAAATTCGTAAGTCTTGAATTTCAATTCTCGGCGGGCCCTACTTCTGTACACTTTTCAGGGCGCTCGTAATCAACATTTCCCTCCCCTGAAAGCAGAGGTGCGAGCGATCAGCACAACCGAACGGACCTGATATTGAAGGATGCCACGCCGGCCTGTAAGGGCCTAGCAAGCAGTCCAACCCTCCGGGTATACACGCACTAGTGCGGGCATGAGATGGACCTGAAATCTCGGCCGACCCCATTCAGCATGGCTCCATATGACCTCAATTGAATCCGGAAATTGGCCGGCGTGCCCGCTCCTGGGTAAAACTCGAGACTTTCTGACCTCGTTCTTTCCGTCGGCGGAAGACGAGAAGTTGTTATCCTTTTCTAAAAGGTCTCCTGAATTCACCTTGAATTATAATGACAATTTAATCGTGGTACCCACACTTTACCTTGTTCTACCCTAAATATTTCAAGATTGATCAAATTCTCACAACATCCCGGGATACACATGTATATTCCAATAAGCTTGATTTCCGACAAAAAAGCGTCATTTTTCTATGATGCACTTGTTTCTGTATACATCTACAGTGGATGTTTATAAAACAACCAAACCTTTGTCCTTTCCGTATGGTATTTTGTTTAAAACAGTTAACGTTTTTGTCTTATGAAACGTCCCATTTTGAAATCAACGGTTATTCCAAAACTGCATGAACGTTAGTGATTTAAACCTACAATAAATGACACTATCCGAAGTTGGTACCTTGAATGATGTAAAAATGATTACCCTTTGCTCAAATTGAAACACGACGATGGCACTGTCACTGGACAAACATCACGAGTGACGCCAGTTGTCACGAAATTCCAAGTGACAATTAACGATGCATCCCCTACAAAAAAGGTCGAGCCTGCCAGGAACACGGTGCTACAATCAACACAGAGAACGAGGCTATAGCCATTTGGAGACAGTTTGCTGGATTATTATGCAAATTACCTACCATCTTGGAGATCATAAAATCAAACCTGTAGTTTAGTCAGCACAGAGGGTTGCCTGTCCCCTAAGCAATACCTTCTTGTTTTGTTCAGCTGCTTCTTGAGCTCAATATTCAGATCAGACATCTTCCATTCTCTTTTTTTCTGTTACAATTTCGGCAATCGTCAATTCCCAACCGTGCGTGCGAGCCCGAAAAGTGCTTCCGCGAATCGATTCCCGGCCCATTCGATTTTCCTCTGCGGCCGTGCGGGCCTTCTTAAATGGCGTCGTGGCTTCACAAGAACAAAACGGACACGATCTAACGGAGGCCATATCCACTGTCTATCGGAGTCTTGGGGAGTGTTTGTCCTGGGGGATTTTTTTTTTGGGGGGGGAGGGATTCGAGTGTGATGTAGAATCAACGACCGTCACTCCTAGTGAATTGTCCTAAGCGGCGCCACTTTTCCGCGGGTTTTTGCCGAAATGTGTTGGGTTGCAGCATCCCAGTGGCAGTGCAGTGTGTGGGTACCAGTTTCCCACACATTGTAACGTATACCCTGCACTTGGATGACCAATTCGATTGATGCCCATGGCACCTTTCAAAAACACTGCCATGCAAAAAGAAAGGAATAACACTCTTACTCAAATCAAACATAAGCCACCAGCCATCTTGTCACCAAGAACAATTTGTCAGAATCTATACTGTAAAGCCACCGACACCGTAACGAAGCAGCCCAGTTCGACAGATCACTCCACATCCAGGTTGTATTTCCGAAAAATTGACAATCATTGAATCGGATGTTCTTGGAGACCACTCAAAGGGAGAACTGGGCACAAAAAGCTGTTTACATAATGGCCCAAACAGGCATAAGTGCAATGCGGTGCGGTAGCAGAGGATAGTTTACCTAGGCCGTTTTCCAATAGTCAACTTCGGCTCCGTCTCAGGCTTCAACTGTTTTTTTAACTAGCTGACTTTGAAGCTGTAAGCGCACTAATTAGTTTAATAGTGCCACAGAACATCAAATAAGATGCAAGAAAGCCAAAAATTACAGTAATCCAATGTAATTTAACGCTTCAGGCCTACAGTCGGGGATTGGTTTTGGGAACGAAGCCTGAGACGGAGACGAAGTTGAGTATTGGAAAACGGCCCTACACGTAAATCTCAGTGCCAAGTAAAGGCAGCTTTCCGTATATGCGTTATCTCGGCTTCATATCTTAAAGAAAGCCAAGTTCCACTTGTGCTATGAAGCCTACGGTTTCCAAAAGTGAAGTAAATGTTTCCAATTTGTGTTTACGAATTGTGTTTTTTTTCAAATTTCGTTTCACGAGATCTCATTTTAGCAACATTCTTCTATTGATAAAAAAAAATAACTCTTCAATTTTTTTTCAAATTTGTGTCGTGAGATTTTTTCCAGTTCGTTTTTAAGAGATGTAAAAGTGAGCTTGATAATACATGTCGAGTTTGAGCCAACTTGAAAAAAACTATATCTCAGGATAAAAATTGAAAATTGTATTTCGTAATTTTTTTTCAAAAATAAACTAAACATAAGGTTTTTAAATATGAAAAGAAAATCAAAAATCTCATAAAAACAAACTTTGGAAAAATTTAACTCGTGAAAGGGTTTCCCAAGCATAGAAACAATGTTTTTAATTTGGGTCACGGTTGTCTATTCAGGGTCACTACTGAACCAGGAGCGAAGTCCTCTCGTCAGATATCTCATAATGCAATTTGCCACTGCCATGGCAACACCTCGGAGTCGGCTGGGGCTGTCATCTACGCTCATAGATCAATAAAATGCCGCAATAATACGACCCGGTCACATTCAATCAAACGATTTCCCTTTTCTCCCCTTGTGGCGTTGATCACTCTAGGTCGGAAACGGAATGTCTTTGTTGATCATATTAATTTGCGGTCACAAAAAAGATCCGAAAAACAGGTCCC